GCAGTTGGGGGCTGACTCCCTGCCACAAGAGACCTGCCTGCCCCTTTATGCCAATCAGGGATGTCAGATCCTCTTTTACACGCGTATTTACCCGGGGTCCCGCGGCTCATAGACTTTAAGGTCAGAAGGGACCATTATGATCATCTAGTCTGACCCCCTGCACAGCGCAGGCCACAGAATCTCACCCACCCCTCCTAGAATAATCCTCTCCCCTATATCTCAGATATTGAAGCTTGCCTGCCCCTTTATGCCAATCAGGGATGTCAGATCCTCTTTTACACGCGTATTTACCCGGGGTCCCGCGGCTCATAGACTTTAAGGTCAGAAGGGACCATTATGATCATCTAGTCTGACCCCCTGCACAGCGCAGGCCACAGAATCTCACCCACCCCTCCTAGAATAATCCTCTCCCCTATATCTCAGATATTGAAGCTTTCAAATACTTTGAAGGCCCCAAGATGCAGAGAATCCTCCAGCTGTGATCTGTGCCCCATGCTACAGAGGAAGGCGAAAAACCTCCAGGGCCTCTGCCAATCTACCCTGGAGGAAAATTCCTTCCCGACCCCAAATATGGCGATCAGCTAAACCCTGAGCATGTGGGCAAGACTCACCAGCCAGACACCTGGTGACCCTGGTAAATATACCAATAAGGGGACTGTTTGCCAGGTAACGGGTTAACTCTTTATGTCCTTAATGCGGCTCGACCTAAAATGAATTGGGGTTCTGGCATGTGGTAACCCGCATTAGTCCCTTGAAAGCGTGGTACATTTGAGTATGTGGAGCCTGCGATCAGAATTGAGGTAAGAACACTCTGACCGAGGTGAGCGCAGCCCAGGGAAGAAGAGCGCTGTGTACATCCGAAAGGTGGTCTTGCTCACCAGCAGAAGTTGCTCAATAAAAGATACTACTTCACCCTCCAAGGTCAAGGAACACAGTCACTGCCTAGGCTACAGCGTGACTAAATGATAGGACTTTTGGCATCAAAATTGTGCCTGTGTCATGCAAGCGTGTGGTACAGATAATGACCGCTAGGAAGAATGGTGCATTTGTAAAACTGTGTTTTTTAGGGAGGAGGCTTGAGTAGTTTTTCTGGTTTATGTTAAGCCATTCAATTGAGAAATGTACATTTGCAGGCACAGAAAAGATTGGTCTGATGTTGAACCAGTACCTCAAAATGACGGGCCAAATCCTGTGGTTCAGATCATCTATAGTGAAAAATGTAAGTTTTTAAAAAGCTTTTAAGCTGGTAAGGTGAAAACATATGTGTAATGTGTCCGTGCACCACTCAGACTAGCCTTTAATTTTCTATAATATTGTCATCTAGAAGTGAACTTTAAAAGATGAGTTTTTAATATTAAAATGGAAAATATACCAGATAAAAATATCATACACATTAGGGGTTCTTTTGAGAAATTATGTGTTAACCAACTTGAGCCTTGAACAAAACTTGTTTCACTTTGTCATGATTATTGGATATAGTTGAAATTCCAAAACTAAAGTATCGAAATGACTTTGATACTATCCCTGTTTTTAAAGAATGCTTCCATAAACTTGCATTTTTCTAGAGATTGGAGAAACCTGAGTTTGTCAAAGCTCCAAGGATAATGTTTACCTGCTTTCAACCTTCATATTCAGTATTGTCTAACATTTAAAAAAAAATCCTCTTGTTTCCTTTCAGATTTTTTTATGACAGAGTTAACAGGTTTTTAAGGAAGAATAAAGCAGGTATTAAAGCTACTTGGTAGGCAGCTACATTTCTAGTAATGTGAGCAATTAGGCAGGTGTGTCTAGGCCTAAAGGAAAATGCAGTGATAATGTTGAAGAATGTTGAGCAATAACATGGCTCCATAGTGTTCTCATGGCCATTTTGGACGTTATCTAGATGATGTGTTGAAAGATGTTTTAGGAACTGTCTAGTCTTAGAAGCTGCAAAGTACCCCAACCATAATGGTGCTAGTGAATGGTGATTGTAACAGCAAGCAGACTGTTAGAACCAAACACCTTCGAACATAGTTTTATGAAATAGTATTTGATGCATACAAAGTAGCATCAATGGGTTGCCAGCCTTAGAAATCCTGAATAGAAGATTTGTAATTGCTTTGGATAACATGCTGTCATCTGTCCAGTCAGAGATGTCTATGATTACTTTCGGGCTGTTCTGCAGCGGGATGAAAGGAGCGAAAGAGCTTTTCAGCTAACAGGAGATGCCATTGAACTAAATGCTGCAAATTACACCGTGTGGTAAGTAATGGTCTTGGGGGGGGGGGATCATTAAAAATTAGTTGATTAAATTCGATTGCCTCATTTGTCTTTCAGCTCTCCTGGCAGTGTATTAGTCACAATACAATTGCCTTTCTGGGTGGCTGGGTGTTGTTAGAAACTTCAGTGGCTCTTAAAGCTACAGCAGGCTCTTAAAGCAAGATTGTAATGCAGCATAACAAATTTCTGGGAAGTGCATCTGGTAATATAAACTTTTAAACAAGATTAGGACTAGCCATTAAAACACCCTACTGTCTGTCATGGCTCCTTCCCCACTCTGGCACGATAAATGCAGAAGTGGGGGCCAGCAAGTGTACCCCAAAGCCTTATCTACCAGGCTTTGGTAAAAACTTCCCCCAAAATCTTAAAACCCTAGATTTTTTGGGAATAAAACTTCCGCTGCCACCACCCAAATATTAATAATGAGATTAGGGGAAAGATCATTTGGGAAATCTCACCCCATTATAAAAATTAGGACACACAAGTAACCACTGCCAGGTTAATAAAAAGAAAGGAGAAAACTTTTATTATTACAACAATATTCCTGTTGCAAGTGTAAAGATCAGATGGAAAGGTAACAAAATATATTCATGGAGGAATTACACCATGGGCTAGAACTTAGTTAAAAAGAAAAGCCAAACATTTCTTAAGCAGTGCCAGATATCAGATCCCATACCCAATCCATAAAACAATAAAGCCTAACGAAACTACCTAAACTTTACCCTACTTACAGAAAGTGAAGAATTGTTTCTTGGAGAGAGAGAGACATGCTTGTCCCTCCCTGTAGCTGCAGAGGACTCACCCAGAGAGACAAAAGGAGAAAGGAAAAAAAACCAAATTCCTTTGTCCCAGTTTGAAAGTGCCACCTAGATTCCTACTGGTCACTCCACCTGGCTAAGTGTAGTTAACCCCTTAATTCCCAGGCTGCTGGCTAACCCTCAATTTAAGATGACATGACAAATATTGAAAATGTTTCTCTTACACGCGTTCCTAGTGGAAAAACTGGAACCATTTCCTAATTGTTTCAAAGAACGTTTATAAGTAAATATATTAGCCGCTAGTTTTTTGTAATATATATTACTAAAGTAAGTCGAGAATTTTCTTTTCATACTTGCCAATTTAATTTTCAAGTAAATGCTAAACTTGTAAGACTTCTGACATCACACAAGTAGATTTCACAACCAATAACTGCTGTTACATTCCTCCCTGTATAAATTAATGCACTCATAACAGGAAATATATACAACTTATTTCATATCCAGTACACAATGTGTAGTGTCACTGCAACAGGTGTGGGGTAGACAAACCTTAAGTAGAAACTCAAAGTTGCTAAGGTCTTGGCTATCCGTCTGTTTGCAGACTTACCTATTACGGTTACCATGAGCAGCTCAGTAATGAATAAATATGTAGCAGAATTATTTGTGTCCTTAAAAATTAGTTTAATTCTTAAAGTACTTTCAACTGCATTTATTCCAGCTTAAAAAAGAAAAATGTTTGTTTCTTTTCTTTAGGCATTTCCGTAGAGTTCTCCTGCAGTCATTAGGAAAGGACCTGCATGAGGAAATCAGCTACATTACAGCTATCATTGAAGACCAGCCAAAGAATTATCAAGTCTGGTAAAATCTTTTTGGTTTCTAGAGACAAACTGTTTCACCTTTGTTCATCTCAGAAATGGACATGGTCCTAAAAGTGGGAGGTGATGATTCATCCTTCCTCCTTGGTTGGAGGCAGTTTCGAAGATGTTAAATGGGACTGGCAATGAATTTTTACAGAGTGGATATATCTAGTGGTAGTGTACTCAGAAGTTTGTCTGCTTACATTTAACCGGGTAACTAGTTACATGGGATTTTACATCCCTAGTCTGGTGACTAGCTGGTGTGGTGGTGGTGTTTTGTGCATTTGTCTTGGTAAGTATTGTAATCAGGTGGTATTTTAATACAAGTCTAATGTTCAAGCAAATATTGGAAGGGAAGCCTTTTGAATTATTGTATTTCATCTTTAGGCACCACAGACGGGTGTTGGTAGAATGGCTGAAGGATCCATCTCAAGAGCTTGAGTTTATAGCTGAAATTCTTAACCAAGATGCCAAGAATTACCATGCTTGGCAACACAGACAGTGGGTTATTCAGGTATTGTGTCCAGGTCTGCTGTTTTCTCTGTAGGGAGCATCCTTCCAAAATTGTAGAGATTTTTATCTTAAATTGAACTTTACGTGCTGATTCTTGTAGATGGAGAGAAAACAATCAAATGTGTGTGATATCAGAATTCATCTCTAAACTAACCCGTCAACGAACCAGCTCAACAAATTGCTGTTGGTGACTTGCCTTTGTGCCTTTTTTAGAGATGGCACTAATAGCACTATATAATGAGGGTTGTGAGACACTTCCCAATTACCTCAATTTACTACTTGGATTTCTTGGGGGACCTAGAGTGTGAGAAGCTAGCCTGGAATTCTTTTTATGAAGAAGGAAGGAATTTGTTAAAACATATCTAAATTTTTTGTTTTCCTCTTCTCATCATTGTAGGAGTTCAAGTTGTGGGATAATGAACTGGAGTATGTTGACCAGCTTCTGAAAGACGATGTGAGAAACAACTCTGTCTGGAACCAAAGATACTTTGTAATTTCCAACACCACGGGCTACAACGATCCTGCTGTTCTAGAGCGAGAAGTCCAGTTAGTAATACTATGTACAATTACATTTGGTGCCCTTCATTTCTCATAGCCTAAAGAAGTGGGGCACGTTCTTGACTCTGCACAGTCTGGGTACAGAATAAAAGCTATGGTGCTGGCATGGGTAGAAGATCTTGAACAATAATCAGGAGATAAGTATCCATGCTCATGTTACATCTAGCAGATGCCTTTAACAGCTGCAGTTAAATTGGAGAGCAGTTGTGTTTTGTGCAGCTATCTGAGTTGATCATTAAAATGTCTGCTTTAGTCTGTATTTTAAAAAGCCTGCGGAGAGGAGGTTGATGTGAGTCTGGATAAAGAACTGAATATATTTCTCTCTGGCTCATTGACCTTTGACAGAAGCGTTTAACCTCTGTTTTTTCCCATAGGTACACTCTAGAAATGATCAAAATGGTGCCGCATAACGAAAGTGCTTGGAACTACCTAAAAGGGTGAGATTTGTATTTTGTATCTGGTAAGGGGGATTGTTGCGGGGTTGGTGTTAGTTGCTGGCTATTTCACTTTGAATGTGTCATGCCTAAAAGTACAGGAAACCTTTGCCATTTGTGGTGGATGCCATTTGTGGGGCTAGACAGCCGCTGCCCCCCTCCTAGGCTGGGACAGGAGTCCCACAAATATGTGGAACCACAAATAGTGATTCTGCAAATTGTGAGGGTCTCTTGTATATACAGCTTTAGGAGAACTGAAAAGCAATTATCTAAATCAGCTTGAAATATACCCACAGAAAGGGGCAATATGATAACCTCCAAATCCACTTGCCATATAATTACTGACTAAGTAGCTTTGGCCAGGGGATCATGAATACTTGAAAGTGCACTACACAGCAGATTGTTTCTATTTGCTGGATCCAAAAAAGTCAGTCCTTTAAAATAGCCTATAAATAACTTGATTGTCGGGGTGCTGACGGTGTACTAGCCTCTCTACAAACCACCAGATGATGCTCTGTAGAGAATGAAAAGTCTTTGATAGTACAGAACTTGGAAAGAGAAATGGTAGCATATAGTAAGTTGGTTGACTGGAGTCAAGTGCATCTGCTTTTGGGGCCTCTTCTGACTGAGTTGGGTGGCATAGTCAGCTTTCTGATTACTTTCATTAGCGCGTACTGAGTGTGTTTCCAGAATCCTTGTTAGAGATGCACCGAAGAAAAAACTGACTTTGGTCTGATCTTGAAGGGTTAGAGTTCTGCATCATATAATGCCAACCTGCTCCTACACTTCCTGCACATACATTTTCCACTGGCCCATCCTAGCTGTGCTGAAATGTTCAGTTTCAGAAACTGAACTCAGTTCCTCAGATGGGGATAGGAAAGAGATGGGATGGCAGTGTCCCAACAGCTTAAAATATTTTCACAGTAGTAGAGGAAAGCAGTTGAATCTTTTCACTTGAACTTGCTCATCTCTCTGTGGGCATATTAATAATGAAGGGATATGTGGCATAAGACCACCAAAAGTTGACTTAAAAAGAAAGGCAAAATAATATTATTAGACTGCTCTGGCTATGCATTGGGAGAATGTTGATTAAAGGCACCTGTATCACTGTGCTCTTGAGATGTTCATCAGTAGCTTTCTAAAGCCGTGGCTTTTCAGCCTGTGGCCAAGAGACTCCTGGGGTTCTGCAGACTAAGATTTCCAAAGTGGTCCACATCTCCATTTGAAATTGTTTAGGGGCCCACAAATGAAAGACCGAAAACCACTTGCTATAGCAAAGCTGTCTTGTTGCTGTATTGAACTACATTTATTACCCTCTGTGGGCTATAAGGTTAAATTGCTTGCCTGCCATACCAGATAATATGCCTTTCTTGGGTGATTCATACTAATTATTATTGGATCCAGTATATAAATATAGTATACATTATAAGGTATTCATGGTTATCCGTAGTATCAAGCTGTAATGAAAAACCTACAGATCTGGATCCTATATGAACAGCTAACACATTTTAAAGTAAGTTAGCATAAGCGACTTTTTCCTAGATACAGTGCTTACTCGGATACTCCTCAGCTTTGGTGTACTGAATAGGGGAACTAAACATAAAATTGAGCCAGTTCATCTGATGTCAGAATCAGTCAGTGACCGCAAAAGGACAGCAGGGCAGAGAAGCTGCTAGAAAGGGCAGAGGTAATAGTTTCAGGAACGAGATAAACCTTATTAATATGTAGTGATAAGCGTCATAATTTACTAGTCTGTAGCATAAATGTGCCCATAAAATTCTTAGAGTGAGGAAATAAAATATGGGCATTGTAGGTTGGGTCAGATTCAAGCAATGACCAGACCCTATAAAATATCCGTGCAGCGGGTAGGGTTAGGGTAGGTGGTGGTACTTTAAAAAACAACAACAACAAATGGTCTGGTAGTACTTTATAGACTAACAAAACATGTAGATGGTATCATGAGCTTTCGTGGGCACAGCCCACTTCTTCAGATGACCTGAGTTATGAGTTTGGGATGTGAAAACTTGAAATAAATAGGGAGAAGGGAAGGGGCAGAGAGAGAAAAAGGGAGGGGTTTAGAAGACAGCTCCTATTTATTTTGAGTTTTTATATCCCAAATTCATAACTCCGGTCATCTACAGAAGTCAGTTATGCCCACGAAAGCTCATGATACCATCTACGGCTACGTCTACACTGGCAGCTTCTTGCGCAAGAACTCTTTTGCAGAAGAGTTCTTGTGCAAAAACTCTTCCATAAGAGAGCATCTACACTGGCATGTGCTTTTGCACAAGAGCATCCATGCCAGTGTAGACGCTCTCTTGCGCAAGGAAGTTCTGATGGCCATTTTAACCATAGTGTTTTCTTGTGCGAGAAATTCATGTTTGCCTGTCTACACTGGCCTCTTCTGGAAGAGCTCTTGCGCAAAAGGGCTTCTTCCTGAGCGGGTGCATCAGAGTTCTGGTGCCAGAAGCCCTGATTTTATACATTAGAACGTCAGTTTACTTGCACAAAAACACGCGGCAGTGTAGACAGGCAGCAAGTTTTTGCGCAAGAGCAGTCGTTTTTGCGCAAGAGCAGTCGCTTTTGCACGAGATGGTGCCAGTGTAGACACAGCCTACATATTTTGTTAATCTATAAAGTGCAACCAGACCATTTATTTTTTTCTGTAACAGACTAACTTGGCAACCCCCTGATACTCCTGGGTCATCTTAGTTTGTCGTTAGTTCTTCTTTGCTGCTTGTTGGCTTATCTTTCACAATATAGCTTAGCCACTCCACACTCTACCCGTCTGGACCTTCAACTTTATTGGGCATGCCAGGGACAAGGCTGGCCCTATGTTTCCTGACGCCAGGCCTTCAGGAAGGGGTATGAGTATGCTAGATTAAGCAATTCTTTGTATTAGTAATGTGACCAGAGGGAGTTCTCAAATTGTATTCTGTTCTGATAACTTTATGCTTTTTGATGTTTGCAACTGTTTAACATTTATTTTAATAAAGGTTTTTAATGACTTGGTATTGTCCTTGACTTGTTCGCAGTTTGAATGCCCCACCACATTCCCTGAAACTCCCCTTCCGAGAGTTCCGCTCTCTGGCTTCTCTCTCTCTTTCTGTAACGTATTTTGGGACAAGAACCTAAATATCTTCCATAACCCCATACCCATTAAATTCAGGTCGACACCTCTGCCTTTTTTTACTATTTATAGCTCCTATTAGACTAAAATCTTCAGAAAAAGCCAAAACTTGCTTAAGTTTTAGTCAGAGTTGCCAGCAGTACTTGTTAATCTCTGTTTCAGAATTCTGCAGGATCATGGTCTTTCCAAATATCAAAATCTATTAGAGCAACTGCTGGATTTACAGCCAAGCCACAGTTCTCCCTACCTGATTGCCTTCCTTGTGGATATATATGAAGACATGCTAGAAAACCAGTGTGACAACAAGGAAGAAACACTAAACAAAGCATTAGAGGTGAGTTGAGAGCTCAATTTCTTCACCCCAGGGAGTTGTCCAGCTGAATCTATTACCACAGAAAGCAAAGGCTAGATTATTTAATTGAAAAGCTCTCTTGTAAAATAGAGCTGTACATTAACTGCACAGTTATTGGGTGGTGATGATTACTATAAGTAGCTGTTTCCATGCGCTGTGGTTTAGTAAATTGTTAGTGTGTGGAATCAGTTCACTACTTCTCATTCTACTGAAGAGAAATCCTTAGGCACTCAAAGTTCATGGATGCTGGTGAGTTGTCCTTTTCCTTCACTCCCAAAGCATCTAATGCTCATTAGCAATGTCCTCTCGCTAACTGTACGGTACATGAATCCTCACCCTCTGACATCATCCAGTCTGTTTGCGAGAATTTTTATAGTAGCTTGCCAGCAACATAGGTCACCTTCGCTCCACTTGACAGAAGCAAAGTGTAGAAACATCCCAAACATTAAATGCTAATAAGCAAAGAACCCAAACAAGCTTTCAAATTGCTGATAGAGCAGTTTTGTTTTGTTTTTTAAATTATTTTGTTTAAGTTCCTAACATGCTTGCTCTGCCCTCTGCATAATTTAGCAGACGGCTCTCTTTAGACTCAAAATAATTGACATATGTATATGGAGAAACCTTCAGCTTCCTGGTCCACAAGACTGATGGAGCAGAACTCACCATGGCTCTTGAAGAGCTTTTTTACACCTGAGAGTAACAACACTGTAATTTAGCAGGAGGTAGATTCCCTGTATAGACTTATAGGCTCCCCATACTGCGTCTACAGATTACTTTCTGCAGCTGTAGATTCCAGCGGTGCTCTTCAGAAACCCTTTTAATTGTGTCTGGTCTGATAGAACTCAGGCACTTGCCTTGTGCTGCTACTGCAGTACTTCACTACCTTGCTCTCAGCATTAAGAACATAAGACTGGCCGCACTGGGTCAGACCAAAAATCTATCTAGCCCAATATCCTGTCTTCCTACAGTGGCCTATGACAGGTGCTCAGAGGAACGAACAGAACAGGTAGTCATCAAGTGATCCCTCTCCTGTAGTCCATTTCCAGACTCTGACAAACAGAGGCTAGGGACACCATTCCTGCCTGTCCTGGCTAATAGCCATTAATGGACCTAACCTCCATGAATTTATCTAGCTCTTTTGAATCCAGTTATAGTTTTGGCCTTCACAACAATCTCAGGCAAGGGGTGCCATTGACTCTGCTCATTGTGTAAAGAAAAACTTCTTTTTGGTTCTTTTAAACCTACAGTCTATTAACATGACGTTTAACCAAATGGAAGTTCTTCTGTCACGAGGAGTACATAACACTTCCTTATTTACTTTTACCATACTAGCCATGATCTTATAGACCTATCACATCTCCCCATAGACATTTTTTTCCAAGATGAAAAGTCACTCTTATTAATCTCTTTTTGTATGGAAGTTGTTTCATATCACTTATTTTTGTTGCCTTTTTCTAAACCTTTTCCAATTACAATATCTTTTTTTGAGATCAGGGCAAATACACTCAAATCTACATGCATTATTCAAGATGTACCATGGATTTATACCATTTATCCTTCACAGTTCACAGGCACCAAAATGTGCCTTGACACCTTAAAATTTCATGCCTCTTAACTGTCTGCACTGTTCTGTTAATCACTGGTGCGCGCTCTCGCTCTCGAAGTTGGTGGTACCAAACCCTGGCTCATCAAATGAGCTGGATGGAACATTTGAAGGGCATTATTTATGCCTGTGGGATGGAGCACAATATCTGATGTCCCATAAGGGGAAGATAGTGGGGTGTACAGAAAGCTATGAGTTAACCTACAACTGGAGAGCCAAACTTCTGTTGGGCATTAACTGTAGAGATCATTGATTGTGTTTTAGGAAGATGCATTCATCAAAAGTGTACTGATACTGGTACGAAACTTGTGAATGAAAAGCCATGCTTTGCTTGCTGAAGAGAAGGCCTTGCTTAATACGTATTATGAATATTTATTTTTAAGGACTTTTAACGTTTGGCTTAATATATTTCAACTTTGTAACTTTTCCTTAGTTATGTGAAATTCTGGCTAACGAAAAAGACACAATACGAAAGGAATATTGGAGGTATATTGGGAGGTCCCTTCAGAAGGAGCACGGCACTGAACCAAGCTTGCATACAGATAAGCAGCAATAACTGCATGTGGAAGAAGATGGTGTGTCAAGCTCTAAGATGCTTGTAAAGAAACTCCCAACTGCGGGGAGGGGACACAAGCCAGTATAAACTTAGATATACTGTTCCCCTCTGCCTGAGTATGATGTAACAGTGTGCACTGCACAGGTATTACTCTTAACAGGAACTGAGTTTGGAGTGTTCAGTATAACACAATCCCCTTTGGTCACTGCTGCTACTGACAATAGCTATAGGTAAATCAAAATTAATTTGACTTGAAATATGCCAAATAAAGGACTTATTTCTTAATAGAAAATACATAATGCTCTCTCACGTTTTAGCCGAATCCACTCTAGCCCCCCTTCCTAATACAGATTACCTGCAATGAATTAAGTCCTGTATGTAATGGTTATAAAGCTGCTTAATTTTAGTTACTTTAAGCAGAGGAAGGCAATTGTTGCTATAGGACAGAACAGCTCTGCAACAGCAACAAAATTATGCTATGATTGTACCCAACTAATGCCAACAACCTGGTTTTATAATAAAAGTGTAGATATATTTCAAGTACTCATGTGTTTTAGCATGTTTCTCTCTTCTATACAGTGTCTTGTAGCAACAAGACAGTGTTTGCTGTCATTAGCCATCTCTTAGGACAATCCGGGGAGGTTCTCTAATTTCACACTCCAGCATACACATGCTTTTTAGGTGTCAGTCTTTGCATTGGAATGTTTAAACTCCCATGTTGCTTTAATGCATCTTGTGCCTTGGAATATTCTGATCCGGACAGCAGAGAGGAGTTCTTGTCATACTCAATGTAAAGAGCAGGCATGAGTGAGTTGTATGGGGTGACCCAACTTCTCAGAGCCAACCAGGTCTGTGGAACGTTCAGACCTGTCTTCATTTCAAAATCCAAATTTCAGATCCCCCCCCCTACCCTTTTAACATGAACAAAACAGCATATTTTTCCTGCTTTTGTTCTTATAAACAGCTTAACAATTGTAATTACCTATTTCAGGCTGATTTTATAGTTTATTTCAGGCCAAACAATTAGTTTGGCAAAGTAATAAAGCAACTGAAAGAGGGTCTTACTATGTGCTGGGTGACCTTAACTTTAGGTGTTGCTATCAGCTCTGCTTAGATTCAGATGAAACAGGTAAGTGATCGGCCCCTTGGGACAGCTTTTCTACAAAGGAGAAATTGACCATGAGCCTAATTATGCTGGTATAACTTCCCATGTGGTCACTCTTATTCCAAAAGGAGAGTGTCTTTTTTTCAGTTTAGTTGTTACTGGAATCCGTGTCTACGCAGGGAATTGTATGAATATATATTACAGTATAACTACGCAGGTAAATTTCCCCTATAGGTAGAGCCCTCTGTCAAATTCATGGTCCATTTTGGTGAATTTCACAATCATGAGATTTTTAAAAACACAATGTCATGATTTCAGCTATTTAAATCTGACATTTCAGGGTGTTGTAGTGTCAGGGATCCTGTCCCGAAAAGGAATTCTGCTACCCTTACTCTTGTGCTGCTGCTGGCAGCGCAGCCTTCAGAGCCAGAAATTGGGGGCTGTTGGCTGGGATCCCTGCTCTGATGACAGAACCGGTTCCTGTGACAATGCAGAAGTAAGGATGGCCTGGTATGGTATTGCCACCTTTACTTCTGCACTGCTGCCCGCAGAGCTGGGCCTTCAGTCAGCAGCAGCCACTCTCTAGCTGCCCAGCTCTGAAGGCAGCACAGAAGAAACAGTGACTGTACTGCAACCCCCTTCAAATAACTTTGGCCTCCCTGCAACTCCTTTGTGGTTAGAATCCCCCAATTGGAGAATCACGGTTCTCCCCCATGAAATATTTATTGTACAGGGTAAAAACACATGAAAGACTGGATTTCATGGTCTGTGACATGTTTTTCATGGCAGTGAATTTGTAGAGGCCCTACTTCTAGGCAAGCCATGTGTGTTTGAGTAGGAAAAAGTCACTATCATGTTTTCATTTACTAGACCTGTTTTTCCCAAGGCAGGAGAGGACTGTCAGTGCAAAGGTGTGTGGGTGACTACATATAGCTGAGGATGAGTGATACCAGTATGTTGGGAAGGGGGGGGGGGAGAGATAACAAAGGGGGAAGTTCCCTGGCATTAAGAAAGGTAAGCAGAGGTGCTGTTTTCAATTAACTGATTAAAACTTTGATGCAGCTCTCTTTGCTCCTCTGTCACTAGATACCTTGTATCAGATCTGTACTCTGCTGAGTCTGGGTGTTTTAAAGCAACTGTAGGATGTCAGTACAACCTGCAGTGGGGGAGAGCAGCCTTTTGTCCTCATGTTTGTGTCTGGTCCAGGCTAAGATTTTCAAAGAGGACTAGTGATTTTGGGTTGCCAATCTGAGACACTTGAAAGAGATCTGATTTTCAGAAAAAGCTGGACATCTGTCCTCTGAGTATCAGACGCTGTTAAGGTATTTCAATGTGCGTCCCAGTAGTCTTAGTCACCAGTGTTCCCACAAATGCTGTCGGGGTTGGGGTTTTTTTAAGGTACGTAGGCACCTCATGGGATTTTCAAATGGGCCGGGCTGCTAATTCTTTTGTCCTGCTCAACATCGCCTGGCAACGCTTTTCCACGGGTTCACTGTGTGTTGTGTGGAAAAGTACTCCCTTAGGTTTGTGTTAAACCTGCGGCCCATTAATTTTATTGAGACCCCCTCTGGTTCTTGTGTTATGGGCTGGGGGGGAGGGGAAGCATTATTTACCTCTTCATTTGTGGTGATTTTTTCTTAAATACTGTAGATCATATGCCCTCCTCCGTCATAGCTTTTCCAGGCTGAACTGGCTCAATCCTTAATCTCTCCTCATGTGAGAGGAATTACATACTCCTAATCATTTTGGTTGCCCTTCTCTGTACTTTCAGTTTTACTAGATCTCTTTTTGAGATGAGGCGACCAGAACAGCGTGCACTATTCAAGATTTTGGGGCATATCCTAGATTTGTACAGTGGCAGTATGATATTTTGTTGTATTTTTCTATCCTTTTCCCAATGGTTCCTAACAGTGGTTTAGGGGTTTTGTTTTTATATCTTTGACTACCCTTGCCCATCAAGCAGCTGTTTTCAGAGAACTATCCGCATTGGCTCCAAGATCTTTCTGGACTGATAACAGCTAATTTAGACTCCCATCGTTTTGTAAATATACTTGGGATTGTTTTCCAGTGTGCATTGCATTTATCAACATTGAATTTCATCTGCCATTTTTGCTGCCCAGACACCCTGTTTTGTGTGATCCCTTAACTCTTCACAGTCCACTTTGGACTTGATTATCTTGAGTGATTTTTGTTTCCCCTTTTGCCAGCTCCTTTGTGATTGTGCTAAACAGCACTGGTTCCTGTATACAGCCTTGGAGAACCCTGCTATTTACCTCTCTCCATTCTGAAATCTGACCATTCCTATCCTTTGTTTCCTGTCTTTTAATCAATTACTGATGTATGAGAGGACCTGTCCTCTTCCCCTACAGCTCCCTACTTTGCTTAAGAGTCTTTGGTGTGTGGCACCTTGTCAAAGATTTCTGACATTTCAAGGACGCTATATCCACTGGATCACCACCTTGTCTGCTTGTTTGTTGGCCTCCTTCAATTCTAATAGACTGATGGGGCATGATTTCCTTTTCAAAAGCCATAGTGATGCTTCCCCCAGTACATCATGGCTACGTCTACACTGGCCAGTCTTGCGCAAGAACATATGCAAATGAGGTGCGGGGATGAATATTGCCGCGCTTTATTTGCATACTTCATGAGCCACCATTTTTGCACAAGGGGCTGTTCCTTCTTGGCAAAAACCCCCTCTTGCGCAAGAGCCGTTCTGCCTGAAAATAAGCAGAATGGCTCTTGCGTAAGAGGTGGTTTTTGCGCAAAAGCCCTTGCACAAAAATGGCAGCTCATTAAGAATTCAAATGAGGTGCGGCGATATTCATCACCATGCCTCATTTGCATATGTTCTTGCGTAAGACTGGCCAGAGTAGCCGTAGCCATGATATGTTGAAGGAAGCATCACTATGGCTTTTGAAAAGGAAATCACGCCCCATCAGTCTATTAGAATTGAAGGAGGCCAACAAACATGCAGACAGTGTGGTGGTGTTAGTTGCAAATATAGCACAGATTAATTGCTGATCAGTTTTGTTTTTGTGGGATTCTTTTCACAGCAAAGATGTTACTATACTCTGAACCTGTTTTTTGCAACATTAGATAAGCATGTTTAATGTGAAACCTCTTAGGAGAGCGTCTTTGTATAAAAGTTGATGCTCTACGGACTCTGAGAACTACAATTTACTGCTAGGAGGTGCTTTTGTGTGGTTATGTCAGAAGAAGAGGTGGTGTTTTGTGAGCAATTCCATTTTTTCATAATTTATGGCAGGGGCCATTGGAGCCTTGTGTAGGCACTCTGCTTAATTTGTTTATGCTTCTTAATAGAGTTATACAGTTAGGAAACTAAAGAAACAAGTACAAAATAGCCCCTTTAGCAACGTAAGACAGGAAGAAACTAATGAACTAGCAACGTGCAAAGAGAAAATAAATTTAAATAACAGAATTATAAAATTTAATATTTGGTAGCCTGCCTAAAATAACAAAGGGCAGGAGGGCAGAAAAACGTTTTAACAGTATCTAACAACAATAAACCCAACTCCTGGGATTAGAGGGTTTTAATTTCAGAAGTAAATACAAAGAGTAGGGTGAACAATACTGAGGCCTAGGTTACACCAGAAAATAAATTTGGTTTAATACATTGGTTAGAATATTCAGGGATGTGGATTTGTTAAACTGATCTAAATCCCATGTAGACCGCACTAGGTATTGTTCTAGCATTTTAAGTACAGGCAAGCCCTGAGTTCTGATGTGGGTAGAGAGAAGGAACTGAACAGTGGGAAGGACTACACCTTTCTATATCTTTGGGTAGCTGGGTAGTGCTGTGTGAGAACAGCTCCTCTGGACACTGCTGGCCACATGAAGTGCATGTGTACCATAAATGGGATTCACAGGGCTAGTAAGAAGCAGGAAGTACAAAGAGGAATTGGGGGCAAAGACAGATGGAATGGTTTGCCTAAGGTCACTTAGGGTGTGTCTAAACTACATCCCTCTGTCGCCAGAGGGATGTAAATTAGACACATCTGAAGTACAAATGAAGCAGGGATTTAAATATCCCGCGCTTCATTTGCCAAATGGCAGCCGCCGCCTTTTTTTGAAAGGGGCTTTTCGGAAAGAAAAAAAAAGGCAATTTAAACGGGGCATTTTTGACAGAAATGCCCTGTCTAAACTGCCGTTTTTTCGCACAGCCCTGTTTCGAGGAAAAAAGCAGTGGCTGCCATTATGCAAATGAAGCATGGGATATTTAAATCCCAGCTTCATTTGTACTTTCGATGTGTCTAATTTACATCCCTCTGGCGACAGGGGTGTAGTTTATACACACCATCAGGGTATGTATATACAGCAACATTATTACAAAATAACTTAGTGAGCATCTCCAGAGCTGGCAGTTACTCTGAAATGTCAAAATACTGTAGAACTGGAAGACTGCTTGCTCAGACTCTTG